TGAAACATATTTTCAAAAAAATTGAAACAATCTGTTAAAAAAAGGCCTGAACCCTACTGCAGCTTGCACCGAAACCCTAACTTAGCTTCCTGTAATAGTCATAGCTCGTAACTTCATATACCCCCAAGGCCTAGGTTTTCCGACGTTAGGAACGTTGATTAATTAGTTGGTACATTTGATTTTAACTGAAAAACCCTATCTACAAGTTACTGTGACGACATTATCTTTGCCCTACTTTCTTTACATGATACATATAGTATCTGTATTGTTTCATCTCTCATTTCCCTTCCCTCTATAGCTCTAATCCTCTCATCTATGAAAACTTAGGATTGAGCCACGTTAATATTTTACGTTGACTTCTTTATAAAAAAAGAAAGACAAGGATAAAAGTGAGAATGAGAGGGGAGGGAAAGAGATTTAGAGAGTAACCCTACTCCATTTATATTATGTACACATAATTTCTTGGGACTTGTGTTCATTGGTGCCTCCGTGATTCCTGTACAAGATCCACGTAGACCTAAATCTAAAAGTTGAATCAGAACCAAGAAAATTGAATACGAATTAACCTCTCTCTCTCTCTCTCTCATGCACAGTACTGCAAACCAAGCAAGCCAGAACCAAAGCCAGTGCATGATACAAAAATGAAAAATAGAGAGATGATGGCGATGGTTTAGTCTCTTTCACCTGAGCCTCTCTTATTTACTTCTTTCCTTATACCTAGCTACCGCTACATATTCCATACATACTTTCTCTTGATCTTGACAATCTCTCTCTCTCTCTCTCTCTCTCTCTCTCTCACCATCTCTTTCCTTCTCCCTCTCCCTCACCCACGTTTGGTCTTTTCCCTTCTGTTGGCTTCTTCTTCCTTTCCTTTTGTTCTTTTTTGGCTAACCAAGCTATATATCCAGCAACCATAGATGGACATGGACGATCGCGACCGTTCATCTGATTTTCTCGAAGAACATGAGCAGTACTACCACGGTGATACCGATTGTAACTTAGGCACTCTGGGAGACGATCTTTTTAGCATATTAGAGAGCTTAGATGATCATGGATTTGGAGGAGGAAGAGGCGGGGGAGTTGTGGACGTTCCTCAGCCGTCAGCTACAGCTCCATTGGATTATGAACAACTACTTGCTGTTTTTAGCGCATCACCAAAAGACTTCTCCTCCTCAGCTGATCAGACCGAGCTTGATGAAACTAACTCTGCCCCCAAAATCAAGAGACTCAAGCTCTCATCAGCTGCCACCCCCAGCACCACTGCCACCACAACAACCATGAATCCTTCAGATCAGGATGGAGGGCGGATGTCTCATACAACAGTGGAGCGCAACCGTAGAAAGCAAATGAACGACCACTTGACTGTCTTGCGCTCTCTTATGCCTTGCTTTTATGTTAAACGAGTCAGTATCCTGTCTTATTTCTTTGATTTAGTTCTGGTGATTTTTTTGGAAGGTCAATAGCAATAACAACTCTCTATTTTTTTTCTTTTTTCCGGCATATGTTTTCTTCCTTCCCCATCAACCTCAAACTTGAAAAAAGTAGAAAGCCGTCACTTAGTATTAACTAGCTACTTGAAGCACGAAGTGATTCTTCTTATTCAATAAAATATCCCTTGCACACCATTGAGGTGTTTTTTAAGAAAAGAACAAACAAATTCTTCACCTTTTTTTTTTTTTTCATTTTTTTTAAATATGTGTATATATGAATTGTTTAGTAGTGCAATTGTATATATATATATATATATATATACACACACACACACACACATACATATATATATATATATATATTGTACCTAATTTTTTTGTCTTGATTGATTCACCAGGGAGATCAAGCTTCAATTATTGGAGGAGTGGTTGATTACATCAATGAGCTGCAGCAAGTTCTTCAATCACTTGAAGCCAAAAAGCAACGAAAAGCATACAGCTGTGAAGTGTTAAGTAGCCCTAGGCTGCAGCAAGTTCCCAGTCCAAGGCCACCTGGTCCTTCACCATCAGTCCTCAGCCCTAGAAAGCCACCTCTCAGCCCTAGGCTCGGCGGCAGTAGCTTACCACCCATCAGCCCAAGAACTCCACAACCCACAAGCCCTTATAAGCCAACGGCAGCCAGGACAATATTGCAACAACCACAAATATTACCTGCAGCTCCTAATATTTTTAGTAATTATCTGATTTCTAGTCCAACAATGGTTGCTAGCTCATCACTTGAGCCATCCCCTACTTCTTCAAGTGCTACTACCACCATTAATAATAGTATCGACAATCTCAACGAGCTTTTCGCCAACTCCAAGTCCGCCCTTGCGGACGTGGAGGTGAAATTTTCGGGTCCAAATGTTCTTTTGAAAACAGTGTCTCCTCGGATACCTGGACAGGCTCTAAAAATCATTTCCACTCTTGAAGACCTTTCGCTAGAAACTCTCCATGTCAGTATCACCACCGCTGACGAAACCATGCTTAATTCCTTCACCATCAAGGTATTTTATTTTCATTTTCTAAATTAAATACATGATTGATTAACTTCATTACTTTTGTTAATAAGTTACTAGTTTTAGATTTTGTTTTAAAATATTTGCTTATACCAATCCTGTCAGACTTTTGTGTTAAAAAGCTGTGCTCAATTCGTTGCATGGGTGATATCAGCCATTGATGCGTTACATGATATTAACGGCTAACACATACCCACAATATTGACAACCATTTTTAGCATTCATACTGTTAACTACATAGAAAGACAATACAAAAGCTAAAGCAATTGATCGACATATCTAAACCTTGAAATAGTAAAATGGTAAATGACTTTTACCAGATCATATAATAGGTAAATATATGTTAGCTAGCTAGCTGCCATGGATATTATCTCACCATTGTACTATACTTAAAGTAATTTCATTTCCTGTGTCACAGAAAAAACAGCTACATACATAGATACTATAGATATATATATATATATATATATATATATATATATATATATAAGTACTGTGTTTGATTGTACCTGAACTGAGTAATGATTTTAATGCTTGTCTACTTGAAACCCCACTAGAAGAAGAAATTGTTGGAAACTAGGTAATCGATCTTTCATTTTCAGACATTGATTTTATAGCGACCAAGTACAAATGTATATGTTAAAAAGAGATTGATTTAATTAATAATGTGGTGGCTAAATTGTGATTTTACTGAAGCTAGCTGCTAATGATTGGTATGTGCTTTCTTGCTAGATTGGAATTGAATGCCAACTTAGTGCCGAGGAACTCGTTCACCAAATCCAGCAAACATTCTGCTAAATGAGTCTCTTTTATGATGCTTCGAAGTATTTTATACACTGTAATTTTTATTCGTTAAATCTTTGATTATTGTATTTTTAATCAATGATTTAACGATTAAAAGTTTCAAAATATGGAATCTTTCGGAGCACACTAAAACATCCCCCGGTAGCCTATCATATTTCATCACTCGATCAAAATTACCCCAACTGCAATCTCTCTCTATTTGTCTCTCATCTCCGAATGGTGCTAATAAAATAGAATGTGGGAAGCCATGCATTTTTCCATATTCTTAATATAACCAATGCATTGTAGACCACTAATAACTTTGTTTTACTTTTAGCTAGCCTATCTAGGGTAACCCTTTGTAATTGTCAATTGAGCATTCTCAAGGGTCTTATTTCATGTATACATCCATGCATGAATTAAGTTCGCAATTGTTTTTATTAATTACTGAAAAAAAGCTCCATGTGCATGTGAATATATCATGAACTTTAACTTCTTCTCGCTTCAAATTATGGAAGGTATTTAATTACGAATGTTACATAATTATAAGATGAGACTTGATCACATTCTACTACAGCTAAGTCTTACACATTACCATGTGGTATATAACCAATTTACTTATGCTATAATACATATATTAGTTTCAAAACTATTCCATAAAGCATAAACTCATTGTCGCACTTATAATTTATAACATATGAATTGATTATACATTGTGTTTACATCTTTTATTCAACTTTCTATTTTCAAAATTAAACGATGTGGGTACTAGTTTGAGAGTATGTCAAAATTAAATGCAAGGAAGAAGAAGATGTGAAACCCTTATATCCATATAAAGATCTTTGTCTATAAGTTGGACATCATTTCCCTACTACTTAAGGAGAGATTTTTCAATGTGATAGAAACACGGGGTGGTACACCAAATGTCATTAATTACAGAATTGGAGGAATTTTTTTTTTTTTCCAAGTGTCCTTTCACTTGTATAATAACATTTGGCGTATATGCCCATGTTCCAAGCACACTGAAAAATCTCTCCTACTCAAGCTAAATTCTAGTTGTAGCTAGCTAGGTAGCTCATGATTATACCAACTCAGCTGGACCAAACCCTAAAGCAATAGACATATATGCCAGAACACTATAACATACATCAATAAAGTGGGGCAAATTGCTATAAATTCCATTGGGTTTTTCTTGTGAGATGCCTCGTTTAGTTAACAAGCGGCATGTTTGAGGCTGGGAAACATATATTTATATTGATGGATCATTGACCACACTTCTTCAAGACACCCAAATTCCATTTCATTTCCCCTGTAACTCGGTATATATTAACAAAAAAGTCCAAACACCATTACTCTACATTTTTTTCTTTTACCTTTTTCTATGTTTCTTCTTTTCTTCTTTTGAATTTTCCCATGGAGGAAGTAGCAAATGACTAAAAAAATGTAGTTAATGGACGAATAAAATAATGTTGGTTTTAAACAGATCATGGGTATACAAATCTAAACGTGACTAAGTTTATTACAGCAATTCGTTCGCTATTCATCCTTTTACATCCAGGTTTGAATGGTCCTTCTTTTCACTTACACTAAAATATCCTCAAATACAAAAAAAAAAAAAAAAAGAAATACTGGCCTGACCTAGCTACTATTGGGCCTTATTCAGCCCAATATATTGTAAAACACAATTGTGGTTGGCCCTTACCCAAAAAAGGTAATAGAAAAAAAAAAATCATAAAAACACATTATTCAGTTTATTTATCTGAATAAAAATTGGGAAGAAACTACATATCAGTTTATTTTTTGTTTATGGAACATATCCGACTACTATAACAGATGTTACATGACCGATTATTCTACACTTTCTCACAGATGCTACACACAAATATACCTAAAATTCAGAATGCTTAATTAAAATTTTGTATGCTAATCAATTTCCCTCACCTTCTGTGTTGTGGGAGCCTATGAAATTAGGAAAAGAATCCTGGACCGTCAAATGAGAAGTTGGGAAACAACTGATCAGCCTGACCAAATGGGATATCCAAACCAACACTTGGAGAGTTGGTAGCTGAAGTTGGAGCTGAGATTATCTCTCCACTCTGAAAATTTTGGTCAACTCCAAAATCCCGCTGAGACATTGAGAAATAGTTTGTTTCTGAAGTTGTAGGTCCCGCAAATGGAGGATAAAAACTTCCCACATAACTGTTGTTCAATGGTGAGGGACTGTTGAAGGAGGGGAACAGTTCCTCACGAGTGTCTAATCCTTCAGTAATGACTCTAAGGCCTTCCGGGAGGTTTAAGAACGTGTGTTGTTGTGATTGTTGCTGGTTTTGTTGAGGATCCACTAGGTTGTTCTGCCGTTCCGTCCTTTCAGGCTGCAACGGTGACGGTGAAGGAGGAGTACTTGTGCCGGCGGAGGCTTGTGTACATGTGTGCTTTCCTCTGTAAGTAATTTCAAAGATCGTCGGGTCTTCATCGGAACGTTGGACTTGCTTTGTGGCCAAGCAGCCTTGGACGTTTCGGTGAGTGCAGCGGTAGTAGCCTCTGCCAAGGTGAATGAATCTAATGTTATGCACTTGCATTAAGTTTTTTGTCAACGGTTCATTTGACCAGTCATAAAGGGTAATTAACAAATGGTTCAATTGACCAAGTCATACTTTTTTGATGTTTACTATATATGCGCTTGTTGTAATTTAACATAAAGGAAGGAGAAGACTTATATGAAATTGTTGAGTATTATTTCTCTGTCTGTCTTTTTTATTACATGACAATCACGTGATGAGAGAGATATGAAAAAAACGACATAGAGAAGAAATATATACATAATAGAGATAGCTAAGTTTTTCTTGCTAGAAATGGACTTGTTATATGTCATAGCTATCGATTAAACTATAATTGGAGCTAGTTGATTTGAAGACCTAAAGATAGATTATATATGTATGAAGAAAATCTAAAGTCCTATATATACCTTGGATATTTGGCTCCAAGTATGTCCTTCTGGCCATACTTCCTCCAACTAAATCCATCATCAAGAGGCCCCTCAAGCCCCATACCAGATGTAACTCTTATTTGTTGTGTCCACCGTGGGAGATTTTTCCTGCAACATTCACGAAAAAATCAAAATCACCACCATTTAAGATCACCTTAAGTACTAAAACATTATCATGAAAATCTCTTTCTATATTAACCTCTTCCTAGAGGAATCTTTGTTGTCATGGTCCTTGAATTCGCGGTCAGAGTCTTCACTCCGGGGACTTTCATTTAGCGAATGCGGTGGAGACTCAACCATTCGAATTGCAACATGACCTGTGGGCTGCTGTTGCTCACCTCCTGAGGCTGAGCTGCTAGAGTTCAGCATGGAAAGCGCTTTTTCGTACGAAAGTATGATCTTTTGAACCAGCAATTCCCGGGTTCCATAAGAGGAAGATGGAACGTTGAGATGGATCTGTAGCTGCCTAGCCAGCTCCCTCCCTTGTGCTAGCTCATCTACAAGACTCTTTTGCTCCCAATGTATATTGCAGTTCTCCATTTGTCAGTAGTAGCACATGAGATATAGGAACGAAGTTATCTGTTAAGATTTCGGAAAACAAGAACTGGGTTTTCAATAGATTGAAGTAAAATATGTAATTTTACCAAAATCAGAGACAAAAACTACCAGAACAAGAAACGGGAGACAGATTTGTGAGAAGGCTAAGCTGAGTTTTTGTGTTTTGGATTAGTATGTGTAATCACTGTGATTAGTGATGAGATGGGAAGAATCTGAAGATGGAAACTTGATGAGGAATGAGAGGGAGAGATGGTTATGGGGATTTAAGGGAAGGTGTTTTTGAATCTACAGAAAGTGAGGGAAAGAAACAGAGAAGTTTGACTGAGAAAATCGAAGTGGAATTTCTTCGTAGGAGACCAGTCTTTGGTCATAGGAATTGGGAGGTTCAAAGTTAAGAGTATAGAGGAAGTCCAATTGCTGACCGTTTCAGCCTTCATGTGCTTTCTCCCTCCCATAAGCTAGGCTAATCTAAGCTGAGCTAAGCACCAAAACTATATATCTCATCATCTCATTTGGTGATTTGATGATTTAGATTAAGAGGGAAATGAAAGAAAGTCAACGATTAAGCATAAAAAGGTAGGAGGGAGACCAAAGACTTCAAACTTAGTTCCGCGTTGTTAATACTACTATTCTACTAAAGCTAAAGCAAGAGAGATCTTTTGAGAAAACTTAAATACAAAATTGACTCTAAATTTTAGTGGTTGTTCCACTTTGGTCCTCAAACATTTTCTCCCGTCTCATGTTTGTCTCTAAAGTTTTTAAAATGTGTTGGATGACAACGTTAGTTAAGTTTAATGGTGTGGGAGAGTCATTTCGTACTTTCTTGGCTCTATTACACCACGGTCTCAACTAGGTTAGCAAGAACGTTTTTCAAATTGACACTAAATTCAATTGATAAGGTGTTTAATGATATTGTCAGTATCCGTATAAATGATATTTCCCTCATATTTGGCTATACCAATAACTCAGAAATCTAAAGTCACTTGGCGTCTTTGTCAATGGAACAAACCAAGGCAAAGGAAGTTGGGCGGGTTCGACCAAAAATGTTATACTTACACACAACACTGCCCCTCTTCCCGAAAGCTTCGCGGGGACTACTTTACGACGACGGACGACCGCCCGTAGGGGGTTTACTGCACAAGGCCCCTGCAGAGGAAAAGCTTTATCCCAGCGAATAGAAGATGCTCAGCTCCGCACAACATAGGGATTAGCACGCTTTCGGGAAGAACATAGAATAGTAAAGGATCCAGCATGCGGAACACGGCGATCATTAGAAATTCACGAATTAGAGATGCTGTAATATACTCTTTCCCATAACTTCTCATACCAGACCAACCCACTGAAATGCAAATAGGGATCAGAAATGTGGTCAATATCACGAAGAATAAAGAGATACTGTTTAAACCTTGTGACACTAAAACAACCACTCAAAAAGAATATTAAATCATATTCTACCGTCATGTCACTTATCGTTGATTTTCTTATAGTTAAAACTAGTTTTATGTCTTAATTTGTTACTTTAAGTCCCCATTAAAAGACTCTAACCAAAATGACGTAAGGAATTTGTTGGTTTTGTCCATTTTTTAGCAATATGCCTAATCTCGAACATAAGTGAACACGTGTCAAGAAATAAAAAGAATTCTAGTTGTCACGTGCTACTCTGTTAACTTTTGTAACAATAAACCCTTCTATCCTTGACAAACACACTTTTCAAAAGTTTATGAGCCAATTTGAGAAAAAATAAAAGGACCAATGTGGAAAACTCTAAGAGTTTAGGGGACAAATAAGAACCAAAGAGTGACATATACATCACATCAGCTTCAAAACTTTGCTTACGTTAACGTGCAAATTGGATTGGATCTCCTATATTCGAAGAGACAAGAAGCTCAGACGCAAAACCCAACACAAGACTTGATAATCTAAACGTTCAATGGCTGAAAATTTGATTAATTAAGTGTGAAAATACACTCAGATTGTCAGGGAACTAGCTACAAGCTAGCGTATTTTTCGTGCCTTATTATTAGTGAAGAACGGTCGGTCATGTAACATACTTAAGCTTAATTATAATAGTTTTCCTTTAATTGTATTTAATATTCATAAGATTTACAGAAAGTTTAAAACTAAGAAAAAGCAAATAGTGCAGTCTTCCATACTCAGTCCTCACGCGTAGAGCAAGCGAGCGTGTTGAAACCTGAAACATACATGCATGCATGCATGGTAAATTTGAACATGTTTTGTGACAAACAAGAGCACTAACTTTGCTTAGTATTTTATAAATGTGGATCTTTTAGGATCGCTAATTAAGATTACACATGGGAATGGGGTTGAATGATTAATAAAGTTCAAGTAGAATCTGTTTTTATGGAATTTTTTTATGTGGGATCTGATCGGTTCTAGTTCAACCAACACGTTTTTTTAAGGTGAGTTACTAACCCACAAGATTGAAAAACAAATGACAGCTTTGTAACTTTTGTTTTGTTTCCTTGTACTATATATTGATATTGAAAGTTTGAAATGGAAAATGAGCTTATTAAGATTAAACAGTTTTGAATCAGAGTATTTTTAAGTATATAGTAATAAATCATCGCATCATATCAATAGTTAATGGTAAAAGTGGTAGTATGCATGTATATATATATATACACTAATATAGACTAAAAACTGTTGTTAATTTGATACAACAATAGTAATATTTAAGAACATTACTACAATATAATAAGGTTGTTTGAGAACATTGATATAGTATAGTATTGTTTGAGAACTGTTTTCACTTTTATTTTCTCATTTTTCAAGTTGAGATGTGTATACTAAACATTTGCGCCAAATTTAGAGAATAAATGCTCAAAAAAGTGTAAAACAATAACATATGATGGCTAAATTGCAAGAAATTAAACTGTATATCAATACCATATGGTAATTAAAATCAATAATCATATTTAAGATTAAGAACATGCATGTTGGTCTAAAACTTGTACCTTTGTACGACTATCTCATTTGGTAGTTAAAATCCAATTTCAAGCTATTTTGACATGATGTTATAGCATGACTATGACAATATATCGAAAAAACAGTAAACATTAGACCTTAAACTTCCGTTTTAATTGTTTAATATATATTTCACTCACGAGTGTCATGATTTTTCTTCAACAGATGATGTATATATATACCTAATATTCACGACCAATATGTTGATTAGATTTAGCAATATGCTGATTAGATCTGAAATGTTATTTTTAGGTCTTCTTTAAAAAATCATGTCTATCAACAAACACCAAAATTTGAAAACATATGACTGTTGGATTAAAGGTTTAGGGTTTCTTTGTAGAATCATATTCGTTTATTTTTTTTTTACTACAAATGAATGTCTTAGTGGTTTTGAATTTGTTTAATTTTTTGTAAGAATTATTTATTAATGATGGCCTAAAAGATAGGCAGTTCAAATCGTTAAAATATATTACGGAGTGAGCTCCATAAAAATATGCATCAAAAGTTGTGTAAAAATAATAGTGTCATGGATTCGACCCACATATATATAGGGGGTAATGCAAGGGGACTAAATTTTATAAAATAAATGACATGAAAATTGATTATTGGATTATTACCTATGCATTGATAAACTACTCATTTTTATTAGTGATATATTATTTAGTTTGTAGATTTTATTTACAAATTTAATTTTCCTAGTATTAACCCCACGCACACATCTATATACGCTGAGTCATTCAAAACAACAATTGGACCGATTCAAAAAGTTCAATTATTGGCATAAAACTGACTCGAAAAGAGCAAAAGGTAAGGCCACGAAAATGGAGAGAAATTGCAGGGTATATATATTGATGTTTCCAGTTGGTACGTAAGTGTAGCCGCAATATTATGTTCATGTTCAAACGTTATACTTCTAGATGAATGCTGATTATGTTCACTTCATTTGTCCAAGTTGCTGACCAGAAACCAAAAGGTTTTAGCCGTGTGGAAATGGTAGGACCGCAATGTGACTTTTCCAATACCTTTCTATAAAAAATTTGTGTCTAAGGGGACTTAAACTTTATGATCATGAACATATCATGTAACTTTTATTAACGAGAGTCCAATTCTTATGGGGGAAGATATAAAAATAATGAGACCAGCAATATGATACCGGTCAATACTAATTAAAGAGCCATAACAGGACAATCTCATTGGATACAGCTCCTACATAATTGTCAAGAGTTTAAATATGTTCACAACTTCAAAACATAGAATCTTTAATTATATACCTCGATTAATTTTATGATATGCATGTCATATGATACAAATGATGTATGATCTCGAGTAACAAGTAATTAACTACCCAGGCCAATATGTATAAGTTAGTCCGTTAATAACGACTGTTGTATAATTACGATAATGCAGTAAAAGTAACATAAGTAAAAATAGGATGAAGGTGGAGTTAAGGTTCACAAGTCAGAGCTCAAAGAAACGAATTCAAACCGAAGATGATGCAAAACCCTAATAATATCATAGAGATGTAGTCGGGTCTCTGCCATCTGAAAACGTACGTAAGTGTTCAAATTTGGCTCTTGAAGATTGGTGATTTGGTTTGCTAATAAGAAGGAAAGATTGAGAAATAATCTGCACTCGCGGTAGACCGGTGACCTAATCACTAATAGGATTTGGCCAAAGCATTTCTTTGATTTGGATTCCTACTGCTGCCAACGGAGGAAAGTATAATTTTATATACGTACGTGATTTGAACTCCAGGATAAATGCCTGTGTGAGTAAGTACATATTAATTCTAATGTGATTCCTATATTGTTTGGTTAGAGTATACTGTGGATTTGATCTCCAAATTATTAAGGAAAACCACAGCCATCACAACTTCAGCTTCTTTCGCGTCACAAATCGCATCCCTCTCAAGACGCATGGTCTCAATAGTTAGGATTAGAGTCTTCTACATAGTGGCAAAGAGGGAAACTCTTCTTTCATCAGCATAGCGCTTTGAGAAAACACTCAGGCCCATTGCTTTCACAACACTTTCAGCAAACTTTGGCGCAAGCATTCGGATCCGTGAGCAAGTCAGCACTGAGCAGCGAGCATATCTTAGAAAATTCTTCGGGCGCAGACTCTTTGGATCCTCACAACTACCCTATTGAGCAATTTCCTCTTTCTTAGCAGGCAGTATAAACCAAAGACCGCCAACATTTATGTAGGTCCCACAAACTACAAACAAAGGAACCGGATCCTTGTAAACTGAGCCTCCTAACCAAGGGATCCGGACCATTGAAATTTGATCTAACGGGAAGAATTATTATAACTATTAGAGGGGACTCTGTTTGTAGCCGTTGGATCAAACTTTAACAGCCCAGATCCTTTGGTTAGGAGGCTCAGTTTCAAAGGGTCCG